GTCGTCCCGGAATCGGTCGGATAACTCCTGAAGTGTTGGATGGATCCCGGCTTGACTACCCTTAGCTGCAGACTCTCGTTGATGTGAGCCTGAAATATTAATCGTCGATTACAGAAACGGTTGGCAAAAGAACAAGGGCAACATCATAATTCGCGCTAGTAATCTTCAACGCTCTTACACTTTCCAAGGGTGACTCCCGCAGACATGAAATCAGCCACCGGTGCTTCTTCATCTTGGTCAAAAGAGGAAGGCTGTCAATCGTCTTCTTAAACAGGGCGCAGAAATCCGACCACTTGGCATAGCCACCGCTGAATGTTGGAATCGGCAACGGGCGCAATGAGGGAGCAGGCGTGTATTTAGCGGGTGAAATACCAGCACCACTGGTTCCATCCAATAGCGTAGAGTGGGCAGCAACTGTACTGAAACGCTTGGCAACTTCCACCTGGATATCGACGTGCACGTCCGTGGCCAACTGAGAGAATTTTCATTACAAATGACTTCCGATTGCACTATAATTAAGCTCCTCCAATTCTTCCTGAAGCGTGGCAAATCGGTCACGCAGACGCTTCTCCATTGGTTCCAGGGTCATAATGGTAGAGTCCTCGATCCGCATCGCAGCCTTGACCTTCTGATGCAGGGCCTCCATTTCTTTACATGTCACTTCTGCTCGTCTCCGCAGCATCATCTCCCTGCTTGCAGCAGCAGATCCAGTGGCGTAAGCTCCAGACTCCATTACGCAATTTATGTAAGTGCACGGTTATTAAAACAAAAACAACAAGTATTCATGGCACTTTTTAAGTGATCGCCATACTCAAAAACGCACTGTGATCACGTCGGGGTCACCAAAATGTTGAGAAACTAAGAGTTTTTAGATGCTTTAGCATAAATACATCGGGGCAGTTCAATTTCTAATTTATGATTAGGAGTTCAAATCAAACCAAATTAACTCCGCAACAAAACCACGCCGAATGCCAAGACAAGAGTTTAACAACAAAGCCGCAGTTCTACAAAAGCTCCAAGAACTAGAAACAACCTCTTACTATGACCTCTTGTTATTTCGAGTACAATCTGCAATTGCAAAGATAATTGAAAATTCTTAATTCTGTGTAAATGGGCGCCGTTAGGTCGGCTCCGCAAATCGTGGAAAAAAAGAGAACGGCTTAACATAGGCGCAACTACGGAAGTTTCTGGACCTTTCTAGACGTTTTCTTTGCGAATCGCGCAACGACGACAGTTTTTTGAACTTTGGAGACGGTCTTGGATTTCGCTTCGTCTTGGGGTGGATTCTGATTTGCATAACGGAGTAAGTAGACAAGTTGTGTGAGACAAGAATTTACTATGTCTTCTTATTGTATTATTATTACTTCTATCGCTTATTATTATTATAATTGTATTTTTATTTATATTAAGAAAAGATTCGCAATCGAGAAAAATAAGGATTTACCTGAAGAAGCTGGTGGAACAAGATGATGAATTACGGAGCGCGTTCAGGGGGGCGGAGGATTTGGACAAGGTAAGAAACACGCTACCGATCACGCGAATACAACAAGGCGAAGGTTCCCAGCAACGAAGTGGCAAAGATTAAGACAGCGCTTCAAAAAACCTCTGCACCCATTTCCAAATACTCGGATGCAGATCAAATCGACGTGATGTTCAAGGACATCGATGCAACTACCAATGATTGGATCTGCACCCTGAAGGGAGGTCCCAAGGTTTCCGCTTTGCTCCTCTCCAGTCTGGCAGGCACAACTAAAGTGCCGGAGGTGGGCAGCACGCACCATGATCAGTATCAAGAAGCTAGATATTGCACATATTGCACCAAGCGGTGAACTTTGCGAAGGCTCAGAGGAATCCCATGTGCAAGCCATGAAGGCAAAAATGAAAGAGGTGCCCATACAGAAGAAGACCATCATGGAAGAGACCTCCACACTAAAGAAAGTCAAAACTGCAGCCAAAACACAATTGCCGGTGTGTCATAATGCTGGTAGAACGATTTGAACCAGGCAAAGGAATTTCAACAAAACGTAGCCAAGAAAAAACGTCCGCAGCCCAAGTTCATTGCAGGGCACTTTGCTTTTGCAATCAAGGGTACACCATTTCTGGAAGGCTTGGAGTCGGGACTGGCTAGCACATTTACCGCAGAGGCCCAAGGGGTCAATTCGTTTTTAAATGACTTCACGAATCATGGATCTTGCTTAAGAGGTCGAATAAAAACAGCAATCGACCGTGTGGGTCTTTAAAGGCGAGCCAAATCCAACGAAAGTTGTTCGTGAAAGAAGCACTTCGAAGAAAATGGTCGCCTGTTTCTTCGGCAAATATGTTCATGCGGCGCCTGTTCCGATTGCGCAAAGTCGGACGGTCAGTTCTGAATGGAACATCACAATTTGTTTGCTTGAAGTCCACGGAGAAATTCGAAAAACTAACAAAAAAAATACAGATCATTCCGCACCATACCAACGCGAGCTCTCACACATCAGATCAGACCGCCCAAAACGTGGAATTGATGGGTCACCCGCCGTACATCACTGACTTGGCACCTAATGACTTATTTTATTTCACGCGCATCAATGGAAAAATGCGTGGGCAAAGATTTTCATCTCCAGAAGGTGCTGTTAAACAGTTAAAAAAACATGTTTTGGAGGTGCCTCAGTCGGAGTGAAAAAAGTGCTTCGACAATTGGTTTGAACGCATGCAAAAGTGTATAAATCTTACTGGAGAACACTATGAAAAACATAGTTGCTGGATCACTATACAAAGTTTGTATTTCTCAATGCTGGTTTGTGGGATCTGGAGGATCTTACAAATTTATTAGGACGCCAGAACTAATGGAGGATAGAGCCATCCGGCTGTCTCGGAAAGATTCATTGGAGGTAGTTCAAGCCCAGGCTCAGAAGGAAGCAGACTGAAAAGAATTAACGGCATTATAGTGTACGGTTTAAAAATGTGAGGCTCCAGGAAAGGCAAGAGATCTTCCGTAGAAACTTCAGGCAGATTAATTTCTCGGTGGGATGCCAAGCTTGATCCGAGGTATGTCAAAGCTAGGATTAGGAAGAATCCTCGCAAGGGCGAGCGATTGAAGCATTGAGATCCGTCTCCGTAGTTTAGCTAAGCCAGTCTCAGCATGGAGATCTGGCAGTAGGCTTTCCGGGAAAGGATGGTTAGCATTAGGATGTGTTAGGTCGAAATGTGGTACCGTAAATGTGACTTGAGAGAGCGAAGCCGCCCCGAGGCCACGAGCCTCTGGTAGCACTTTAATAGTCATATCGCAGAATAAAAATTTTGAGTGAACATGGTAGATTTCGGATTTATGGGAAGCAAGCTCCCTACCCTAGCCTAAGATTTTATAACAAATCCATCAATCAACCTGCTAGCCCAGGGCTCTGAGGGCAGCCGTGAGCAATTGCTGACAGATCAATCAACTGAATCAAACGCTGATGGGCATAAGATCCATGTCTGAGACCCACTACAACGTCGCAGAGTCTACGGGCTTATGGGTTTCTTGTTACGTAAGCATAGTAGAAGAGTTTGTAGGGAGTAGAAGAAGAGTAGAATGTAATGAGAGATACGCTGGTGTAACAATTTTCTTTGTGAATACGTATACGTATTATATTATAATGTGCTAAAAAATAACATGCCTTTTCCATTCGCAATCGCCACGGCGCAGCCTAACCTCACCCAGTTTCGATAAGCACCTATTCGCAGTCCACGAGGCTATGCACTCTCCTTAATATGGTATGTTCAAATTATGGTTCAGCAGGGCATCCACGAGGAGAGAGAGGGTCTTGAAGGTGCCATTATATGGCCGACGAGATGGCGTGTAACCCTACTCTCACCCGATTTTCAATCAAGTTATATATCCGTAGCTGTATGATACAAAGAGCAAAACAGAATCGAAAAGCTCGAGCGTGTAAACTGTTCCTTGACAGTGTCAATATTGTGTAAAATTAAGTTTATATTTATACCCGTCCTCAAAGAGTAAAAGGTTATATTAGATTCGTAGAAAAGTATGTAACAAGAAGAAAAAAGCGTATCCGATCCTATATTCTTAATCTGTCTCCGTCTGTCCGTCTTGAGGTTCCTAAGCAGCGCAAGTTTTTTTTATCATCCTCCAACGCCTACTCTTACGTCCACAAATAACGAAAAACTGAAATCGCTGAAATCGCAGGAACTATTACAACTAGATTTGGGATTAAGTATGTATAATCATGAAATGCCAGCACATCATAAGGAGGTACCGTGATCTGACCATGACCACTCTTACGCCAAACAAGCTCAAAAGACTGTTTTCGCTTTTGTAGAAAGGCTAATATCTCGGTAACTATACGAAATATTTAGTTGGGAAGAAGTATGTAGTTTTTTGACACTCTTTTAAAATGAGATTATTAGTCCCAACTTTCTTTCCCACTTAGGTAACGTGATCTCGTCGTTTCTACAAAAAGTGAAGCCAGGCTTTTGAGGTTGGAGGGCGTAAGAGTGTACCCACCTTAAGACGCGCTGGAATATCAAAATTATATATACTTAATCACAACTTTCCAGCTCTAGTAGTTTAGTATTTTAGTTTTTCGTGATTTTCGTGATTGGTCGGCTTTGGAATCGGCGTGGCAGGATGCTGAAATAAACTTGCTGCGTAGGGACCTCAAGAATCTGCCTGCTAACTTCAACTTTGTATCTCTTATAGTTCCTTAGATATCACGTTACTACGGACAGACCGTCAGACGGACGGTCAGACGGACATAGCTTAAGATACCCTTTCACTCTAGGAGTAACGCGAATAATAATCGTGCATTGGTACAAAACGACTTAAAAGGTTTAAATTTTGGTATGCCACATATGTACTTGTATAAATACTTAAAGATGCATCCAAAGTGTAAATGCTGCATATCAAATCTAACATTCGTCTATTCTGTGCATTTGAAATATTACGTTAAAGGCAGTATTCGAAAATTTTGCGTTTATGTAAAGGCTTACGTTGCGGGCACAGCTGAACTGAGATTACCATTTGCAAGTACGAAGTTTTGTTTTAACCTTTTGACTTTTGAAGGCGGACGAAAATGATATGTTATATCAGTAGAAAAGCAGTATAGGTTTGAAAATAAAATTGTATTGTTACCTTGACATATTAATTTTTATCAGTGCATATTTTAATAAGATATCGCTAATTCTTTTTATGTATTAAAATGGGAAGAAGAAAGTCGAAAAGAAAACCACCGCCGAAAAGAAAAAACATTGAGCCACTTGATCAACAATTTAATTGTCCATTCTGCAACCATGAGAAGTCGTGTGAAGTTAAGATGTACATACTCTGGCCTGTTTTGGTTTTTAATGTACTTATCGCAAAATGAACGTACATATTTTAATCGGATACATATGTACATATGTACATATATATACATGCGTATACAATAAAAATCATAACAGGTTCCTTGAAAATGAATTGAATTTATAAACTATAAATATTTATCATATTATAGGGATAAGGGCAGGAACACTGCTAAAATAACTTGTAGAGTGTGCCTGGAAGATTTTCAGACTGGGATTAACTTCCTTTCTGAACCTATTGATGTTTACAATGACTGGGTGGACGCTTGTGAAACAGCAAATTAATGTTAAGTAATTTAGTATTAGCAAGTAATGTATAAATGATTTAACATTAATGGCTTGTAATTCTTTATATATAATGGAATTTATTGTTAGTGTATTCAATTTGATGAAATTACAGTGTGCGTCAGTTATATTAAATAACGGTAAGATTCTACCCTTTGGTGGTTTTTAATTACAGTGGATCCAAGCTTATTTCGTGCAAGAAAAAATCGAATTTTATATTTGATACTGCTACTAAACCAGCAGAGATATCAACAAAATTTAAACGCAGTAATGTTAAGAATGTCGCATATTATTAAAATAATAACAAAAGTTTTTACTAATTTAAAAAACAAAAGAATTTTTCATACAAAAACTAAAAAATAGGGCAATTCCGACGCACAAGCTTATTTCGTGCAAGCACTTTAACGGCTAATAACTCTAAACTAGGACTTTTAAATCCATTTTTTTTTCTTAATACTAGTAAAAATATATTAACAAAAGCATATTTATAAGTTTTCGAGGCTGGGGGCACCCAAAAATTACGGATTTACGAGGATTTTCAAACTATGGCGCCACGAATAATAGTCAATAGTTATTGAGCAAAGCGAATTAGTCCTTAAAAATTTTAAGGATGGGAAAACCCAGGAAATGGTTGCCTCAAGCCCTAGTAGAAACCCATACATAACCCAAACTCTTTTTTGCGAAAATCGGGTGGCAGATAAGGGCCGTGATGCTCCAAACACAATTTTTAATGACCACGAGGAGAGACGTAGGAGATTGAGAACGAATTTGGCAAAAAATATTGCCTAGGTACAGTTCGGAGCACTTAGCATAACCACCACACTTAAATGGTCGAGTTTCTAGAAATAAGACCTTCGTTAGTGCTAAAAATAAGTTGGCACGCGTCAAATTCGCCAAGGAACTTGAAACTAGTCCGATTTTGGTCTGGAACGACGTTATGTTTGTGGACGAATCCTAATGTAATATATTTGGGTACCATGGGAGGAAATATGTTTGGCGGCGTCCCAATACAGAGCTACATTCAAAAAACAAAAAAGCAGCGGCTAAGCACGGCGGTGGTCATGCTATAGTTTGGGCATGAATGACTCTGTCCGGCGTCGGAAATTTGGTTTTTATTGACTGAATCATGGATGCCAATAAATATTTAACTATTTTGAAAGAAAATTTGGTGCACAGCTTGGGGTTTCCCTCACTTTTCGGACATTCAAAATACATTCAAAAAACAAAAAAGCAGCGGCTAAGCACGGCGGTGGTCATGCTATAGTTTGGGCATGAATGACTCTGTCCGGCGTCGGAAATTTGGTTTTTATTGACGGAATCATGGATGCCAATAAATATTTAACTATTTTGAAAGAAAATTTGGTGCACAGCTTGCGGTTTTCCTCACTTTTCTCCTCCTGGTCATTAAAAATTGTGTTCGGAGCTTCACGGGCCTTATCTGCCACCCAATTTTCGCAAAAAAGCGTTTGGGTTATGTATGGGTTTGTACTAGAGCTTGAGGTAACCATTTCCTGGGTTTTTCCATCCTTAAAATGTTTAAGCACTAATTCGCTTTGCTCAATAACTATTGACTATTATTCGTGGCGCCATAGTTTGAAAATCCTCGTAAATCCGTAATTTTTGGGTGCCCCCAGCCTCGAAAACTTATAAATATGCTTTTGTTAATATATTTTTACTAGTATTAAGAAAAAAAAATGGATTTAAATGTCCTAGTTTAGAGTTATTAACCGTTAAAGTGCTTGCACGAAATAAGCTTGTGCGTCGGAATTGCCCTATTTTTTAGTTTTTGTATGAAAAATTCTTTTGTTTTTTAAATTAGTAAAAACTTTTGTTATTATGTTTGTATTATTTTAATAATATGCGACATTCTTAACATTACTGCGTTTAAATTTTGTTGATATCTCTGCTGATTTAGTAGCAGTATCAAATTAAAAATTCGATTTTTTCTTGCACGAAATAAGCTTGGATCCACTTTATATTAATTTTATGAAAACGGATGGAATAAAAACGTCGATCGTCTTAAATTTCAAATTGTGGACTGAACTCCGAGCCTATGGGCAAGAGTCTCTCCCAGAAGTACATATGTATGTTTGTATTTATGTACATACGTACATTGATTTTTATGAATGCTCCCAGCAAGCACTTTATGAAATTTTCGATTGAATTTGAGTCATTTTCGGCTCTCCTAGAAGAGCAAAATAAGCATAAGTGCGCTCGTCTTCTGATCGAAAAATATGGGACCCTAGCTGCGACTCTTCCTAAAGAGTCATATTCGACAGCTCAGGAAGAGTCGCTTTCGACTCATTTTCCTCGCAAACAGCGGGTTTTTTTTGAGTCATATTTAAATCGAAATTCGCTCGTTTTCGACTCATTTTCCTCGCAGAAGGGAGTCTTTTTCGAGTCGTATAAGAATCGAAAATAAGTGAAATATTCAATAATATTTTGTTCTTAAATTTTTTATTTATTATATAAATGTATATTAAAGCAACTAAACTAATTCACGCGCTTTCTTTTCGAAAAATTTTTGAAAAACCATTTCCATGTCCTTATCCGTGCATTTGAATTTTATGTGGCAAATATCTAGAAGGAGAAAAATATTAACTTTTTTCACCAATAGAAATATTTTTTTACGGTTTATTATTGTTATAAGAAACTATACATACATAAGAAACAACTATAATTTGTAGCCAATTCGTCAGAAAATACTTTTCGAATAGCTGCTCTCAAAAATTGAGATGGTCCTTCTTCACCATAAATTGTTTCTGAAAATTAAGTCAAATTAAATTAAGAAATTAAAATTGATTCATATATACAATACTTACAAATTGCTGTAATAATTGTTTGGCTTGTTTTTTGCCAATTTTCTAATATTTTTGGCCAATATATTCTATTTACTTTACCTAATCTCACTGAGCTCACAAAGTTACTAAAACGGAGTTTAAAAATGCAGAACATTGCACCAACCACTTCAAATTTTGTTAAAAGTACCATTTGAATAAGATAAACGAGATAAAGCATAGAACAGAAAACCAAGAGAGAGAGCGCGGTTAAGCTACAAGTTCTCACCAATTGTTAATGCAAAGCAAAAAATAATCTCATTTCAATCATCTAGATGATTAATTTTCGATTGCTTTACAATTTTGTTTTTGCTATTCTAAATACCGTATTTGAAGATCATCTACGACTCATTTTCGAGTCTTTTTCTAGTCGCGCGTAAAAAGAATCTTTTTATTAATCATTTCAACGACTCAAAAAAGACTCGTCAAGCTGATAAATTCAAAAACGATCTTCCAATTCCTTGCTGGGTTGTACCGCTTTTCTAAGTCAAGATCTGCTGAGTCGGTCCTGGGTCGGCGTCATATTGTCGATAAAAAATGGGCATTGAGGAACTTTTAAGTTACATATATCAGGACACTAATTCAAGGCCAATAAAATGAAGCCCTGGCTGGTTTATATACATATCTTAAGGATAAAGTTAACAAGTTTTAGCTTAAATACTCGATAATTTCCTTAAAAATACAAAATAGGAATTTTTTACGCACTAAAATTATTTGTACACTTCTCATTCTTGACTTCCATTTCTGAATTCAACGGTAATTCGAGAATCTTTCTTGAACTGTTATTCGCAGCAAGCTTCAGTGTGCTTTTCTCAAAGTTTTTTAGTCTTCGCTACTTTTATTATCTCGAAAACGTACATGTACAGTGAATCGGATATTTCGTGCAGCTACCAAAAAAAAGTTGGAGCCGCTATTTCTGCTAACAGGGAATTTTAACATTTATTTTATTAAACAAAATCGATTTTCATAATCACAAAAACAAAAACTTATGTATAAAATCAAAAAATTCAGCCATTTTTCAAGCCGCAGCTTATTTCGTGCAGTAGATTCAACTTAAATTATTATTTGTAATTTAACACATAATATTTTGTATGTCATATTTTCTGGTTAAGGACAGCTTAGAGACAATTATTCATGGAAGAAACTAACATTCTTCCATAGGAACAGTATTCCAATCGTTTTTGCTCGAAATCTCCCTCTTTCTTACAGAGATGTCCAATATTTCCCATAAATTTTCGATCACTATTAAATCTACAAACTGTACTGGTTATATCCACATGAGGGCAGCTCCTGATGAGCCAGGACTACACTTTTCCTGCTCAATGCTGCGGATCGTTGACCTGGTAAAATCTGGTTTTCAGCAGTTTGCAGTAGGTTTTCCTGTAAAATGTTAAGGTACATTTTGGCATCCATGATCTAATCAATGAAAATGAGGGTGCACACGCTAGAGGCTGCCATTCAGGCCAAAACCATGACGAGACCACCGCTATGTTTGTCCGTTGATTTGAGGTGCCATCCAGGTCCATCTGAACCAAAAATGTTATGTTTTGACTCTTTAGCAAATATAACGTCATCCCAGAACAAAATCGGAAAAAATATGTGCTTCTTTGTAAACTTCAGCTGAGCAGCAATATTTTTCTTACTAATAAATGGCTTCTTCCGTGCTTCTCCAGCCTTGAAATTAATATCGCGCAGCACAAGACTCACCGTATCAGGAATACACTTCTTGCCCATATCGTTCTCGAGCTCTGGAGCTTTATTTTGGAGCCGATAGCTTGGGGTTTTCCTTAATTGTATCGTCTATAATACAATGATGAATATCTTCGTCTGACCTTGTCAATTTACTAAAGATATTTTAAATCGGAACATTATTTCGGTATCTGTTAAGAAATGTAGATTATAAGGACTCCCATGGGCAGTTACGTCACTATCAGTTACTCAATATGCAATTTACAAAAGGGGGCGCTTTGTGTATTTCCACTAGCAAAATTAATATTTTAAAATTGTGTAAAGCAGTAACGGGTACTTTATAGTCGCGGCACTCGGCTATAGCGTTTCTTCTGGTTCGAAAATGAACAGTATTTATTAAAAACTATAATTTTCCAGGTTAACTCAGTTTTAGATAGCGATTTAGTAAAATTCAACACGTTTAGTAGCTTTCGAATCATATGTTTCGAATATATTTTCTTAACAAAAGAATATTATTAATATATATTGTAACTTTTAAGAAAAAGATTTATATTTTAATGAAATGTATAAATTAAGAAATATAACTATTAAAAATAAAATAAGTTCTTTTGTTCCATGGCACATTTATTGTAAGTAAATTGTTGTTTATTATTCGTTGAAACAGTTATTAATCTAAGCTTTACATAAATATTGATTAAAAATCATAAAAGCACTCTTTAAGTTTAGCTGACATTTGGCTATGTGGAAAGCCAATTGGAAGACAGTCCTTAATGGTCGTTTCCGATTTTATCGTGTCATAAATTGTGGTTTCTTGCCGAAATTTTAATGCTGAATAACTGCCATTTTTAGTTCTCACATCCAAATACATTTCTAATTCGGTAATTTTGTTAAATACATTTTTTAGATCTTTCTCCACATTTTTAAGGAATTTGCGTCTTATTGCAAAGCTTCTATACATAAAACAATTGAAAAGAAGTTGGACACGAAACTCAAGCTCTTTCATAATATATTTAACATTTAACTTTGTTACAGAATATACATCATAAACCATATTAAGATTATTCTCAGCAGCACATTTAAAGAGCTGGGCAGAATGATGTTGTAAAAAGTCAACATAGAGTTTGCGGCATTCCAAATTAAACTTCAATTTCCAATTTTCTAAAAGATTACTTTGAATTTCAGCATAGTATAAAAATATTTGTTGAATCGCTTTTAGGGTTTCTGTGCTAAAGTCCATAGCTTCGTCTATAATTTCTGAAAAAAAAACTTGAAAGTATTCCATTTCCGCAAAATAATTTGTAAGCCACACTTTAACAACTGTTGGTTGAGCTGTTGGGACTTGCCGCAGCTTTAACAATAATTCATAACTCGTATTTTTTGATATTTCATAAAATATTTTACTATCAGTAGAAAATTGTTTAAAAGTGTCTGAAGCGTCAAAAAAAAAAAAAGACAATTCTTTAAGCCTTAAAATATAGTTTGCCGCTCCTGTCAAAGTATTTTCGGAATCGCTCAAGACAGCCGACAAGGTCAAATTTTTTTGTAATTTCTCCAGGAAATGGGATAACTTATGCTGCAGATTTTGTTTACTGCCATCGGATTTTTCAATGGTCTTATAAAATTCATATGGTATTTGCTGTGCTCTAGAATAATGTAGAAAACGTTGTGTTTTAGCCAGATGTTGAATTTCAATGAAATTTAATTGTTGAGCTTGAATAGTACATATAAGCCAGTTTAAAAACGTAGCAAAAAAACAGGAAAACTTCATTGCAATTGCTTCGGTATTAATCGCGCTGCGTTGAATTTTCACTAACAAGATAAATTACACTGGTGCTGAAATGGTATATTTTTCCAATCGGAATGGTCTATAAATAGCTCATGAAGTATTTTAACAAGCTGTAGAAATTGCTGAATGAGAATATACATAATCTTATTTTAAATGAAAACAGTTTGTTTAAACTATAACAGACAGATGCTCTGGTTTTCCTTTTCACAAATTTTACTCAAATAGGAAGATTTATTCGGTAATAAAAACGGGAGAGAAATCTTTACTTTTTCAAAGTAAAATTCATTCTGTATAACAACAAATCTATTTTTGCACAAGAAAAAATATTTGAATTATTAATTTACATATTGTTTGATATAGTTCAACAAAAATGACTAATTGTTACTGTTAAAGTTTTATTGTTACAGTTATTCGTTTCAAATTTATTTAAAAAGGCTCAGTTTTTTTTAATACGTAAAAAGAAAATTATAAACATATGTTTGTATAAATGTTTGCTTTAATGTTTTTATGTTTGTTTATAACCTAAAAATGCTTTTAAACACGTATATCGTGTCGTACTTATTAAGTACTTTCCATCAGCCTTTTTGACGAGAGCCGGAGAAAAGCCATTGCAGAACAATGAAAAATTATGGGATCTGCTCTGCTCGGAGCTATAGCAATAGCAGAAAATGCTATGCCGTGCTCTTAGCGAGTTGGGAGCAAAGCAAATTATATTTTCTTGTGCTTTATACCATAAAGACAATTCGACCCACTCCACCTGCAGCTACCCAACCCCTTATTCTTGCCACCGTGCTTAAGAGTTTTGATCAAGTTGTTTTCCTTCATTGGGATTAAGTAAGTAAGTAAGTAAGTTCAGATGCCATCGCATCTTATAGTGGCATCGCATCTTATCCGGCCACACTCACTCTTACGCCCATCAAGCTTGAAACTCGGTTTGTAGAAAAGCTGATAACTCGGAACTATAAGAGATCGAAAGTTTGGATAAAGGATGTAGGTTTTCATGATGCCCCCAATGCGAATAGGTATCTTCCAATTTAGCCAGGCCCACCCTAACGACCACTAAGCCCGGAAAACCATAAATGCAAAAATCTCGGGAACTATAAGAGTTAGAGTGTTGTGCCACGCCCACTCTAACGCCCATAAACCGCGAATAGCTGTGGCGTCCGTAGTATTACAGGGTATGTGTTCGTTTGACCTTGTGTTACATATTTTGGGATGGACATTTTTTTATTTCACTTTGTATTGTTATGTATAAGTTTCTATGTATAGTATATAAGAATTAATGTACACTTCGGCAGCGCCGGCTTCTCGGCCACAGCTGAACAATATATGAATCATATAGGAATCAACTGTTCGCTCCGTAAAGTTTCATTTGCGTCGTGTCATCGGGAATTCCATCCTTATATTTGAGCAAATGCACACCCTTCTGACTCAAATTGAGTCCGTCGTGGAGTCAGGTATAGAATGTTTAAAGTTAAAAGTTAATCTGTGTCGTTTTTCTAAATCATTTCGGCCCTTCTTTCAACTTTTTGCATTCGGGTAATATCAGTAGATAGTGAGCATTCTAGAAAACAAGTTAATACAAATAAAGATTGCATGTACTAACAAATTATATTATATATATATTATACCTGTCCATAAATATTAAAAAAAAAGGTGAATCGCTTTGGGTGTATAAATTAATTTCATCGTGGACCCAACTTGTTTCTTACTTCCCTAACATATCGTAGTGAGCACCAATTTAGGCGTCAATTTCAAGACAGGAAAAAATGATTTATTTCGTTTTTCTAACCTTTATTCAAAGAAAATCACGCGACATTTTTGCTATATTCTAAGCTTCGAAGATATTTTCTTGGGACTTTGCATCCCGCGTATATATTCGTTGCTTTTTATACCGGTTACTCGCCGATTCGTTGAATAGTATGTAACAGATAGAATGAAGCGTTCCAGACCCTATAAAGTATATATGTTCTTGATCAGGATTAATAGCGAAGTCGATTGAGCCATGTTCGGCCGTCCGTCGGATTGTCTGTATGATCTCAGGATCTATAAGACATACAAAGTTGAGATTAGGCATGAAAACTCTTGAGGTCCCTATGCTGAGCAAGCTTATATCAGCACCATGCCACGCCCACTTTAAAGCATGCCATCCACAAGCGAGCATGTTGGCGAACATGCTCGCGAACTTGAATTTCATTTGCCACCAATTAGTGCCAACATGCTCGCGAACATCATATGTCGGCAAATTTTCAAGCAGTCAACATGTCAGCGGACGACGGCAGCGCATACGAAGCTTTTAATAGCACTTCCCACGCTTTATTGCGCAAATTTTTATTTTTATATGCCTCGCATTTTGCATTCCACACAGCAGGCTCATTTTGCAGACAAAATATAAATTCTTGCAGAAATTTTTGGCTCATTTTGCGCTGCGCAAACACATCTTCTCTCTAGGAAACGATCTCACAAATGATGTTCGTGCCAACGTTGCCATCCATTGGCGAGCATGTTGTTGCGAACATGGAAAAACTAGAATGATTTCAATTTAATGCGAGTATGTTCGCGAACACGAAATTTGACGACGAACACTACCATCAACAAGAAAAATTTCGGCGAGCACAACATGCTCGCGAACATGCTCGGCTGTGGATGGCCTGCTTAACCCACACAAATCAAGAAAAACTAAAATAGCTGAAATCTCTGGAACTATTAGAGCTAGAAAGTTGAAAATTAGTATCAGTAATCCCTAGATGCTAGCTTATCTTATGGTGGTACCATTATCCGGCCGCGCCCACATTTTCTTGAATAGTTGATATCTCGGTAACTATAAGTGATAGGTAGTTCGGATTAAACATGTAGGTTTTTATGATACCCTAATGCAAATTGTTTTTTATTAAGCCACGCATACTCTAACGCCCACAAAAGCCGAAAAACCAAAAATCTCAGGACTATAAGAGCTAAAAAGTTGTGCTTAAGAATGCGTATTTAAAAGATGCCACTTCAACTTGCCCCTAGTTTTTATCCGGCAAGGCCCACTCTGACGCCCACAAACCGCTACTTGACCTTGTACAACATATTTTCGTTAATATTTATGATTTACCAAAGTTTTTTATATCTGAATATTATTTCGCTATTTATGAAGAAATTTAGGTTATAAGGCGTCCCATGGGCAGTGACGTCACTATCAGTTACTCAACTTGCTTTCTCCAACAATATGTTCCAGAGTCCTTAAATTTCGTCCGCCGTTCCAGAATGAGACCCGCATATGACCATTGAATCGGTCGGATAACTCCCGAAGTGTTGCAACAGATCCCAACTCGACTAACCTTATCTGCAGGGTTTCGTTGATGTGAGCTGGAATATTAACCGTCGATTTCTAAACGGTTTAGCAAAAGAACAAGGGCAACATCATAGTTAGCGTCAGTAATCTCAGCGCTCTTACAGTCTCCAAGGGTGACAGACATGAAATGAGCCACCTGAACTTCTCCATCTTGGTCAAGTGAGGATGGTCGTCAATCGTCATTTTAAACTGGGCGCAGAAATCCGGCTACTCGGCCTAGCCACCGCTGAATGTTGGCATTGGCAACGGGGGCAATGAGGAAGCAGGGCTGTATAGAGTGGGTGAAATATAAGCACCACTGGTACTGTCCAAAGAGAAAATTTCCAATGTAAATAAATTCCGATGTCGCTATAATTTCGCTCGTCCAATTCCTCCTGAAGCGTGGTGAATCAGTCACGCAGACGCTTCTCCATTGGATTGAGGGTCATAATGGTTGAGCCTTCGGTCCGCATCGCTGCCTTGACCGTTTGATGAAGGGCCTCTATTTCTTGATAGGTCACCTCTACTCACCTCCGCAGCATCCTCCCCCTGCTTGCAGCAGCAGATCCAGCGGCGTCAGCTCCAGACTCCATGATGTAATTAATGTAAGTGGGTTATTACAACAAAAACAACAAGTTTCCGTGGCACTTTTTAACTGATTACAATATTCAAATCGCGCTGTGATCACGTCGGGATCACCAAAATGTTGAACAACTAAGAGTTTTTAATTGCTGTAGATTAAATAAACCAGGGCAGTTCCATTTCCAAATTTTTATTACGAGTTCACATCAAACCAAATTATCATCAAAACGAACTAGAAACTGCTGATAAACCCGCCGCTGCTCATCCGTCTTTGCTTTGGCTGCTTGGCCCAACATATACTTTATAGGGTCGGAAACGCTTCCTTCTACCTGTTACATACTTTTCAACGAATCTAATATACCCTATTAGTCTATAAGTAACGTGTATAGAAAAAGAGAATCGCTTTGGATGTTTTAACTTAACTTCCCTTAGCCCAACTAGTACAAAATAATTCTTCAAATTGGTGTAGTTAGCATCAATTCAGGGCTTAAATTCAAGGCCGAAAAATTCGATTTCTTTAGTGTATCCCTTACTAACCTCTTGTTCAAAGAATATCACGTGACAAATTTGCCTGGTCTGCTATTTTCCGAAACCTTGGCGCTATTTTTTTGAGACTTTGCATCTCGCTTGTATATTCATTGCATTTAGATATCGGTCATTTTCCGCTAGTGTCATCATATTTAAAAGAGAGATCTGCCAGCCGAATTCAAACACATTTAAGAACTCTTGCCCCGATAGAGCTGCCAGTTGATTCGACTCTCTCTCTCTTTCCCTTTTCGTTTTCGATTACTGAAGTAGTGAAAGCGTTAGCTTTGTTGTTGTTTATCGCTGAGGTTTTGGTATTCATGCTGTTAAGTTTATTGTTTTTCCAAGTGTGCTGGAAGCTGGAAGCGGGAAGCGATCAGCTGATCGCTCTCGCACTTTGGGTCGATGCATGGGATCGCGAGAACGAGAGCGGGAAGAGGACAGAAGCATTCGATTTCGGTAAGCGAGAGAACACATACGTCGCTATCTAACGCGGAACGCCATTTACATATGTGCACTATATATATAAATAAACATGAATTTGTGAATTTATCGGTTAGTGTTTGCATTGCATACAATTTGTGAATGCGGCGTAGTGGTGTCAAAGAAGTTAATAAATAAATTATTAGTTATATTTAAAATTTCATTGAAAGTATTCTACAACTCCTCTAATTCCTTACGTTCGTCATACTACTCGTATATTTTTATTTTTAATTATTATCAAATAAAAGTTTTTAAGCTTTTTGATTTCAAAAGAAGTTCAAACAAACAATGGTCACAAAGGAAATCGCTAAGAAATAAACGAGATGGCCTAATGAAAAGTATATCCCGAACACAGCAATATTTACAAGAGGGTATTGTAATATGCACATATGCCATACATATCGAGTGTACACTGTGATTACCACTTTTATCGAGTGTACACTTTGTGCAGCCACAACAAATTTCAATAAACAAAACAAACTCAAGTGAGCGCATAATATGATCGGCCACTTGTGAATTCGGCTAAGTCAGCATATGCACGCTGACCGCCAGTGCCCTATGCATAAGTGCATAATACTCTCTCTCACTCTAAAGTATTTACGTAAGACAAGCATGCATGTCCATTGTCACCTAAGCATAAGCATATACATATAAGAAATATATAATGCAGCCGCGCCGCTGCCGGCTCTACCGGCAGCGCAGTGCGCGTTGAACTTATGTACTTAGGGTAAGAGAACATTTTGACTTAAAATAAAAGAACATTATAAAACCTACACTCAAACTGCACTCACGTGCAAGTCTATTCATTTCTTAAAACATAACTTGAAGTATTCCATTATTGATGTCTACAACATAACTTGGAAACACCTTCAACTTACAACATAACTTGGAAACACCTTCAACTTACAACATAACATGGAAATACCTTCAAGTTACAACATGGTGACCGTGACGTGGGTCTAGTAAGACCAGGACCTAAAGCGGATCTCTCTCTCCAATAACTCTTTCCAATAACTTCTCGAAGACAATTGGGATGGCGGGACAGGAAGCTGGAAACAAACTGGCGGAAAACTGTAAAAACTTTTGTAACTGAGTGAGTACAGGGGTATGTGCTCCACTATCACCAACAAAACCAAACGACGCAGTGGCATTAAAGAGCGGATCAGACAGAGAAAGTCTGAGATCGTTAGACTCTTATATAAGTCCGCAAACCCACTACCCTGGGAAACTGCAGAAAAATTAACATGTAAACTCCCCCTCCCCCTGTCCCTCAGACAATATAAAAACTCAAATTAACAACAAAACACATCGCCAAACGCCAATGCCCACCGGACTGTGAAGGACCATTCTTCAGCCCGTATTGATGGGCACATGCCAGGCAAAGCAATAGATGTTTCAAAAAGCAACAATAAATAATTAATCACGAGAGGCAGACCGCCCCATGTGACAACGTTGGAGCGAGAAGAAGATTGAGAGGCAGGCCGCCCCTCGTACCAACGATTGGAAACACCAAGGGTGAACTGACCGACAGCACTAAAGAGTGCCCAACAGTAATTTTAACATTATTATTAAATATTTGTAATGCCTGACGACAATTGAGTCGACCGGCAAAACGTTTGGCCTGTAAAGCCATTCGAAAACATTAGGTAGGCAAAGAGAAAAATAACTCTCAAATTTGTAAACTATACTATTGATAGAAAATATGATATATGAAAATTGAATTATTTTTTTATAAGAAAAAAACACAATTTTAAGAAACCTTGACAAATAAAATAAGTAAATCAGAAGAAATAATTGAACAAAATTCAAAAATGTCATTAATAAAGTCGAAGTACAAGATGCTGAAAGTCCTCACTTTACTAGTAATAATAATATTCATTATAGTTCTGGTACATTTGTTGTATAATTTGTATAAGTATCACAACAGATGTATCAATAAGCGTTATCAAAGCTAAGCAAATGACTTGGATAAGATTTGAAATTTGAAAAATGAAGCATGAATAATAATAAAGAAAAATCATATATAAACACAAAAAAATTATATATATATATAAGATCAAAATTTAAAAAATAATATTCTAACAACATGCAGTCAAGCATACAGTTTTAATAGACAGCATTTTGACATATGAGCCGGAGTTTTTAAGGGATTCACGGCCATAGTTACAGACACTCCCGTGTCGATTAGTGAATTAGAATACAAGTACATTAACAAAATATTATGAAAGTTGATTAACTGCCAAATTTACAAAAGGCTATGAGTAACTTAACAAAGAGAAATTTAAAAAAAAGGTCTTGATAACAGAACCGGACCTAGCTCAAAGAGTTAATTTTATTGTATCATATTGTCCCACGTATATATGTAATTTCGAAAACATGTATATGAGAACATATGATCTAGATTTCTCCCCTTTTATTGGCCTATCTAATAAAGAAAAGGCTCAATTATTGATGTTAATACCTGGCATAGAAATTATGACAGTATCTAACGAGAAATCAGAAGAAATTAACTACGAGGTATTCAAGTATTAAACCTCGCAATATAAACAGCTTGCTCATATTCATATTATGGAATGGTCAGAACTCCCTGAACGAATCCTTAATATAAAAGTCAAATTTGAAAAAGCATACAAATGCTTAACGCAGAATAGACAAACTCATAAAGACACAGTAGACAGACATGCAATAATCTTAGTCGACTGCTTTAATGAAGCTCGAATATTTATATATAATCATAAAGACGTAGCGAATTTGCAGATCTTGCACTCAAGATTGTAAAGTCCAAATTACCGGGCGCAATCAGAAATAGAGTAAAAGACGAAACAACAATAACTGACATAAAACTGCAAGACACAGTAGTCGGTGATACCGTTCAACTGTTAAAAGCCAAAATGGCATCAGTACACCAGAAAGGCAAAACAGTCACTCAGTTTACTGATGAAATCAATAAACTACGCCTTTTACTTGAAAACGCGTATATTAATAACGGCTATTCTTCAAAGTATGCTGAAGAACTTAGCACTGAAGAAGCATTACATGTCATGACAGACAATTGCGAGAACGGCAAACTTAAGAATATACTTGAGGCAGGTTCATTCAAAACAGCGGATGAAGCCATTTCAAAGTATATAAACCATTGGGCTAAAATGACTGGTAGTCCAAGCACTGTACTCTACCAGAGAAGTCAAAACCAACGAGGTTCATATCGAGGTAGAGGCAACGGTAATAATTATAATAACAGAAATAATTATAATGATTATGACCGTAATAATGGTAATAACAATACAAGAGGTAATTCCCGAGGAAATAACCGAGGTGACAACCAAGGAAGAGGCCGATGTGCCAACCAAAACAATGGGAATAGAGGCAATGTCCGAGTTACTCAAGGTAACTCGGAAAACCGCCAGAACCCAACAGATATTCAAAGCCAATAAGTGGCACAATCAAAAGCATCAACTTAAATCTAAGTATCTTTGTAAAAATTAATAATGAAAAATTGCCAAATAGATTTTAACGAACGGCGACTCACTATTTCTTCGTCCAAACAACTTAAATTATCCGATTAGACTGGAAATATTTCACACTTGTGACAATAATGCCACAGTACTTCCAGCTCGTTCCGAGGTCGTCCGTAAAATACAAATTCCTTCAATTACTAATCTCATCTTGATACCGAATCAAGAAATTGAAGAAGGAATTTATATTGCAAACACCTTGTCCGATCATAACCATACTTATGTCCGAATTTTAAACACAACCAATTCCAATAAAATTGTTAATTTAAATAAAATAAAATATGAAAAATTAAACGATTACGAGATATTGAAAAACTCTAATGAAGATAGAAGTAATTTAGTCATGAAAAAATTAGTCAAAAACTTTCCGCCATTGTTCAAAATCCAACTAAAAGATCTATGCACCAGATATACAGGTATATTCGGACTAGAAACCGAATCAATTACTACGAATAATTTTTATAAACAAAGACTTAGATTAAAGGATGATGAACCCGTATATATTAGGAATTATAGAAGTCCTCATAGCCAAGTACAAGAAATATAAGCCCAAGTACAAAAACTAATAAATGATAAAATAATTGAACCTTCAGTGTCAGAATATAATAGCCCACTACTTTTAGTCCCGAAGAAGTCTCTTCCGGGCTCCGAAAATAAGAAATGGCGATTAGTAATTGACTATCGTCAAATTAATAAAAAGCTACTATCTGATAATTTCCACTACCTAGGATAGATGATATTCTGGATCAACTAGGTGGAGCAAAGTACTTCTCATGTCTAGACTTGATGTCTGGTTTTCATCAAATTGAACTTGCCAAAAGCTCTAGAAATATAACGTCATTTTCCACAAATAATGGCTCATATCGCTTCACGTGATTACCTTTCGGCTTAAAAATAGCCCACAATTCATTTCAAAGAATGATGACAATAGCATTTTCTGGTTTACAACCATCACAAGCATTTCTTTATATGGATGATCTAATAGTAATAGGTTGTTTCGAGAAACATATGATCAAAAACTTAACTGATGCTTTTGACAATTGTAGGAAATACAATCTGAAGCTACATCCTGAAAAATGTTCATTTTTCATGCATGAAGTAACATTTTTGGGACACAAGTGCACTGATAAAGGAATCTTGCCTGATGATAATAAATACGAGGCCATTAAAAACTATCCTGTCCCACATGATGCAGACAGTGCAAGACGCTTCGTTGCATTCTGCAACTATTATCGACGTTTTATTAAAAACTTTGCTGATTATTCACGTCACATAACAAGATTATGTAAAAAAGACGTAAAGTTTGAATGGACATCAGAATGCTTTTGATCATTTAAAAACGGCATTGATAAATCCAACCTTGTTACAATATCCAGATTTTACTAAAGAATTCTGTATAATAACAGATGCAAGTAACCAAGCGTGTGGAGCGGTATTAACTCAAAACCAAAACGGACTCCAACTCCCCATTGTATACGCATCAAGATCCTTTACCAAAGGAGAAAGTAACAAGAGTACCACTGAACAAGAGCTAACAGCTATTCACTGGGCGATAATGCATTTTCGACCATATATTTATGGTAATCATTTTGCAGACCAACGGATCATAGACCACTCACATATCTATTCTCAATGGTCAATCCGAGCTCTAAACTTACTCGTATAGGGCTTGAATTAGAGGAATATAATTTTACGGTAGAATATCTGAAGGGTAAAGATAATTATGTAGCGGATGCGTTATCAAGAATAACCAACAAAAAGTCCTGAAAATTGAAAAGTTCAAATTGAAATATTGATTTATGTCAACTATTTCCAAGGCTCGAGAAAGAAGCCGGTATATTACAAATGCCAAAAATCCAAAGTGACAAGAAATATAAAAACTCCTTTAACTATTACAGATACACCTGTACTTGCCTTTGACAGGGTTATAGTAGACACGATTGGTCCACTACCCAGGTCAGAAAATGGTAACGAATACGCAGTCACATTAATTTGTGACTTAACTAAATACTAAGTAGCGATTCCAATACCAAATAAAAATGTGCGGTCCAATGAAGACGTTCATTACGGACATGGGAATAGAATATAAAAATTCAATTATAAATGATTTGTGCAAATATTTAAAGATTAATAACATTACATCTACTGCACACAACCACCAGACCGTTGGAACAGTTGAAAGAAGTCACAGAACAGCCTATAAAAGAGCAAGAATAATGCTTGAGAAATATAAAGCTAAGAATAAAGAAAATTATGATAAAAAGGCTATAGATTTTGAATTACAAATAGGAGATAAAGTTCTATTAAAAAACGAAACTGGCCATAAATTGGACCCAGTATATTTAGGACCCTATACAATAGTTAAAATAGTAGACAGGGATAACTACGTAATTAAAAATGGGAAAAACAAAACCCAGAAGGTCCATAAGGAAAGGTTAAAACAAGAGGAAACGCTATAGTCGAGTGCCACGACTATAAGATACCCGTTACCGTTTTACAAAATTTTAAAATATTATTTTGCTAGTGCAAATTCACGAGGCGCCACCTATTGTCAGAGGAAGTATGTTGAGTATGCTTATAGTGACGTCACTGCCCATGTGAGGCCTTATAACCTTAATTTCTTTATAAATAGCGAAACAATGTTCCGATTTGAAAAATCCTTTGGCAAATCGATAGATATTAACAGAAATAAGTTATACAAAGTCAATCGAAGGCATTCATAATAATAGTATAGACGCCACAGTTTTCCGCGGTTTGTGGGCGTTAGAGTGGGCGTGGCCAGATGCAACTTCGTGGAAAGTTGCAGAAGCATCTCTTAAATGCGTGTTTTTATTCAAAGTTTTGTAGCTTTTATAGTTTTTGAGGTTTATGCATTTTTGGTTTTTCAGGTTTTGTGGGCGTTAGAGTGGGCGTTGCTTGATCGGAAAAAAGCAATTCGCATTGGGAGCATCATAGAAACCCACATGCTTAATCCGAACTTTCTATCTCTTATAGTTACCGAGATATCAGCTTTTCTAGAAAATCCGAAAACCGTCTTGTGGGCGTATGGGTGGGTGTGGCCGGATAGTGTTACCACTATAAGATGCGCTGCCATCTATAGATTATACTTTTTGAATTTCAAGTTTCTAACTGCAATAGTTCCTGAGATTTCAGCAATTTTAGTTTATTGCGATTTGTGGGCGTTAGAGTGGGCGTAGCAGGATGCTGTAATAAACTTGCGCTGTCCCGGGACCTCTAGAATCTTCATGCTTAATCTCAACTTTGTATATGCTATAGTTCCTGAGATCTCAGCGTTCATACGGACGGACGGACGGACGGACGGGCAGACGGAC